GAGGTGGGCAGATCACCTGAGGTCAGGAGTTCAAGACTAGCATGGCCAACATAGGGAAACCGCATCTCTACTAAAAATACAAAAATTAGCCAGGTGTGGTGGAGGGCACCTATAAATCCCAGCTACTTGGGAGGCTGAGGTGGGAGGAATGCTTGAACCAGGAGGTAGAGGTGCAGTGAACTGAGATCACACCACTGCACTCCAGCCTGGGCAACAAGAGCGAAACTCCATCTCAAAAAAAAAAAAAAATCTGGCCAGAACAGTGGATCACGCCTGTAATCCCAGCATTTTCTTGGAGGATGCATCACCTGACGTCAGGAGTTCGAGACCAACCTGACTAACATTGTGAAACCCCATCTCTACTAAAAATGCCAAAATTTATCTGGTCATTGTGGCAGGTGCCTGTAATCCCAGCTACTCAAGAAGAAGCTGAGACAGGAGAATCACTTGAACCCGAGAGGCAGAGGTTGCAGTGAGCCGAGATCGCACCGTTGCACTCCAGCCTGGGTGACAAGCGAAACTCCATCTCAAAAAGAAAAAAAAAAATCTGATACTTGGTTATATAGCCACCCTAATGGTTTCCAGAGTGGAGGGGAAATCTTTATAAAATGCTCATTCCTGAAACTTTAGTCATCTGATGGGGTTTTAAGTTAGCCTAAATCAGTATCTAAATGTACCTGTTATCTTTGGCCATCTTTCCTCCCTGCCCCCATTCAGAAACAATAAAGGGTATAATATTTTCATTGCTTTAGAGACCATGTCTGAAAAAAATTCGTATCCATGGTTACACTTTCGTTTTGTTCTGTCTTTAATAGAGACAGGGTCTCACCATGTTGCCCAGGCTAGCCTTGAACTCCTGAGCTCAAGTGGTCCACCCACCTTAGCCTCCCAAAGTGGTGGAATTACAGGTGTGAGCCACTACATCCAGCCATGGTTACCCTTTATATATTTCAGGACCCCTCTGGAATACAGGAGAGAGAAGTCTTCTTGAGACTTCACTATAATTTCTTCCCCCAGAACCACCTCCAGATCCCAAAGCTGGTGGCAAAAGCCATCGAGGCTGCCACAAGAGGCAGAAACTTATACCCAAGATGAGCCTAGTGGTGCACTTTGGAGCTATGGCTAATCTCTAGCTGCCATTTTCTGACCAGACAGTGCTCATCTTTCAGTACAGTGGGTAGGTGTAGTAGTGTCCATACTTGCTTGCCAGAGGGTGTTTCTCCTTGGAGAATAATTGCAAACTCTTCACCAAATCAAAGGCAAGGAAGAGCACTGTTGTGAGATGCCTTGTGTCTTTCTGTTTTATACAATTCCATGAGATAGTTACCATGATCCCTAGATCAAAGGTCAAGTATGTCGAGTTGGATTTGTTTTTCTGGTACCATTGTGGGGAAGAGAAGTTTTGGCTGCTAAATCCATTAGCCACACTTAGAGGCATGAAATCAAAATCCCATCTCTATTAAATTTAGAGAGATAGCAATTATTAGCTGTTATTTACAAGTTTAACTTATGAACAACAGTCTTAGATAAGCAGTATTCTTTTTTTTTTTTTTGAGACGGAGTTTCGCTCTTGTTACCCAGGCTGGAGTGCAATGGCGCAATCTCGGCTCACCGCAACCTCCGCCTCCTGGGTTCAGACAATTCTCCTGCCTCAGCCTCCCGAGTAGCTGGGATTACAGGCACGCGCCACCATGTCCAGCTAATTTTTTTTGTATTTTTAGTAGAGACGGGGTTTCACCATGTTGACCAGGATGGTCTCGATCTCTTGACCTTGTGATCCACCCGCCTCAGCCTCCCAAAGTGCTGGGATTACAGGCTTGAGCCACCGCGCCCGGACCTTTTTTTTTTTTTTTTTTAAAGATGGGGTTTTACCATGATGGCCAGGCTGATCTTGAACTCCTGACCTCAGGTGATCCACCCACCTTGGTCTCCCAAAGTGCTAGGATTACAGGCATGAGCCACCGCGCTGGGCCTGATAAGCAGTATTCTTGTCTGTTGCACATTGACAAAGTGTAAATAAATTTTTTTTTTTTTTTTGAGATGGAGTTTCGCTCTTGTTACCCAGGCTGGAGTGCAATGGCGCGATCTCGACTCACCGCAACCTCCGCCTGCCGGGTTCAAGCAATTCTCCTGCCTCAGCCTCCTGAGTAGCTGGGATTACAGGCACGCGCCAACATGCCCAGCTAATTTTTTGTATTTTTAGTAGAGACGGGGTTTCACCATGTTGACCAGGATGGTCTCGAATAAATTTTATTTTTGATACTACTCTGGAACTCATGGAATTTCTTCAAACCAGTTATATAATGTATCCTTAAGATATCCTTGGTTTCTAGCTGTGTTTCTTTTTCTTTTTTGAGCTGTATTTAATTTCTTTAATTTATGATAGAGGGAGACATGGTGATGAATAACATTACACAAAATGGATTTCTGAGCCAATGAAATTCCAGCTTAAAACTTGAAGAGAATCTGCTGAAACTACAATGAGCTACTCAGATACTGGCTCTAAGCACAGGCACCTAATTGACCTTGAATTTGAATCCCGGTCCTCCCTCTTGTGAACTATACGTTCTTGAGTAAGTGAGTAAGGCTCTTTTTTTTTTTTTTTTTTTTGGACAGTCTCACTCTGTCACCCAGGCTGGATGCAGTGGCGCAATCTCGACTCACTGCAACAACCTTCGCCTCCCAAGTTCAAGCGATTCTCCTGACTCAGCCTCCTTAATAGCTGGGATTAGAGGCGTGCACCACTACGCCTGGCTAATCTTTCTTGGTCTAATTTTCTCATTTGTACATTTAGGAGAGTAACACTTAATTCATAGAACCATAAGGATAAATAAAGTCATACATCTGAAGAACTACCTAACCTGGCAAGGCGTGGTGGCTCACCCCTGTAATCCCATCACTTTGAGAGGCCAAGGCGGGAGGATCGCCTGAGGTTGGGAGTTCAAGACTAGCCTGACCAACATGGAGAAACCCTGTCTCTACTAAGGATACAAAATTAGCCAGGTGTGGTGGCGCAGGCCTGTAATCCCAGCTACTCAGGAGGCTGAGGCAGGAGAATTGCTTGAACGAGGGAGGCAGAGGTAGCAGTGAGCTGAGATCGTGCCATTTCACTCCAGCCTGGGCAACAAGAGCAAAACTCCATCTCAAAAAAAAAAAAAAAAAAAAAAAAACCTACCTAACCCATAGCAAGCATATAATATATGGCAGCTGTCATCAGTAACATTACAGTACAATTGGGTAGAGAGGATTCATAAGTCCCATGTCAAAAAATTCTTTAAATTATTCAAGGCATAAAAAAATTAAAATTGCCGGGCGCGGTGGCTCAAGCCTGTAATCCTAGCACTTTGGGAGGCCGAGGCGGGTGGATCACAAGGTTGAGAGATCGAGACCAACCTGGTCAACATGGTGAAACCCCGTCTCTACTAAAACTACAAAAAATTAGCTGGGCATGGTGGCGCGTGCCTGTAATCCCAGCTACTCAGGAGGCTGAGGCAGGAGAATTGCCTGAACCCAGGAGGCGGAGGTTGTGGTGAGCCGAGATCGCGCCATTGCACTCCAGCCTGGGTAACAAGAGCGAAACTCCGTCTCAAAAAAAAATAAATTAATTAATTAAAAAAATAAAATTATGCAACGGCATGTGATAATTATTACCCGGCTGGGCTTGGTGTCTCATGTCGATAATTCCAGCACTTTTGGAGGCCAAGGTGGGCGGGTCACGAGGTCAGGAGTTTGAGACCAGCCTGGCCAACATGGTGAAACCCTGTCTCTACTAAAAATACAAAAATTAGCCCAGCATGGTGGCACATGCCTATAGTCCCAACTATCAGGTGGCTGAGGCAGAGAGAATCACTTGAACCTGGGAGGCGGAGGTTGCAGTGAGCCGAGATTGTGCCACTGCATTCCAGCCTTGGTGAGAGTGAAACTCGGTCTCAAACAATAATTATAATTATTATTGTTATTTTACCCTAGTAAATTTGGTACACTTGTTTAAGTGCCTAACTCAGAGTAATTCAGGTTCTAGGAAGCACATAGCCTCCATATCCTTAAATGTCAACTCCTGTGGTTGGAGCACTTCACCATTGGCTAGTTCGAAATCTCTGGCAAATAGGTGGCCTTAGCCTAAGAAGCAGGAGACTAGAAAGGACTCTGAGACCTCTGAGCTGGGCACGGTGGCTCATGCCTGTAATCCCAGCACTTTGGAAGGCCGAGGCGGGTGGATCACTTGAGATCGGGAGTTCAAGAACAGCCTGACCAACGTGGAGAAACCCTGTCTCTACTAAAAATACAAAATTAGCTGGGTATGGTGGCACATGGCTATAACCCCAGCTACTCGGGAGGCTGAGGCAAGAGAATCGCTTGAACCTGGGAGGCGGAGGTTGCCGTGAGCTGAGATCGCGCCATTGCAGTCCAGCCTTGGTAAAAAGAGCAAAAACTCCATCTCAAAAAAAAAAAAAAAAGGATCCTGAGACTTTTGGACCACTAGTGACCAGTATCCGGAAAGCTGCACCTTCTTTCAACTGCCTGACTCCAGTTATGTCGTGTTAGCAATTAGTTGGGTACAGAAGAAGCTATTGATAAGGGTTGATCTGAAAAGCAGCAGCAGAATTGGGACATGTCAACAAAAAGAAAGTGATTATTCCATATTACATTATTGGAAGTTCGGTGTAAGGTCAAGAGGTTATTAAAATGCAAAACCTGGCTGGATACAGTGCTCACACCTGTAATCCCAGCACTTTGGGAGGCTGAGGTGGGTGGATAACTTGAGGTCAGGAGTTTGAGAGCAGCCTGGGCAACATGATGAAACCCTGTCTTAACTAAAAATTCAAAAAATTAGCTGGGTATGGGGGTAATCCCAGCTACTCAGGAGGCTGAGGCATAAGGATCACTTGAACCCAGGAGGCAGAGGTTGCAGTGAGTCCAGACCACACTACTACTGCACTACAGCCTGGGCGATAGAGCAAGACTGTCTCAAAAAAAAAAAAAAAAAAAAAAGTCGTAAAGATGCTCTGGATTTATTTTTAGACATGTTAACAGTCTTCATCGATGATCATGTTCTCTACTTTCAGATCCCATTTTTTTCCCAAGAGACTCTTTCAGCTTGCATTTACTTGATGTGACATTTTTATGAGGAGAGATGACTTCTCTCTCTTTTTGGATTCTCCTCTGTTTTTTTCGGCCTCTTCTGTAATTTGTCAATGCGGACGATTGTATACAGCTTAAATTCCTGGTAATTAAGACGCTTTTGTTAGGGGGAAAAAAGAAAAGTTATTTCAGGAAACACTTCATAGTTTGTTTCAGATGATAGCAGGATTGTACTCATTTCTGTTTTAAAAACTTGGAAAATTAAAGACACTCAGTAATTGGGACATAATTATAGTCTGATTGTAGTCGAGTACCCAGGAATAGAGAGTCTATTGTAGATGCTAAAGAAACAAGGATCATTTTTTCTTTTTTTTTTTTTTTTTTGAGACAAGGTCTCAATCGGTCACCCAGGCTGGAGTGCAGTGGCGCAATCTCAGCTCACTGCAACCTCTGCCTCCCAAGTTCAAGTGATTCTCCTGTCTTAGCCTCCCGAGTAACTGGAATTGCAAGCGTGCGCCACCCAGCCTGACTAATTCTTGTATGTTTAGTAGAGACAAGGTTTCGCCATGTTGGCCAGGCTGATCTAGAACTCCCGGCCTCAAGTGGTCTGTCCACCTCAGTCTCCCAAAGTGCTGGGATTACAGTCATAAGCCATGATTCCTGGCACTTTCTTCCATAAGTTTGGTGCAAAAGTAATTGAGGCTTTTGCTATTATTTTCAATTTGCACCGACCATTACCATGTCAAGTCCAGAGGCTTCAGGCTGGCATCTAAAGTTGTTCATAGTGTGGTCATCTTTTTTTTTTTTTTTTTTTTTTTGAGATGGAGTTTCGCTCCTGTTACCCAGGCTGGAGTGCAATGGTGCCATCTCAGCTCACCACAACCTCCACCTCCTGGGTTCAGGCAATTCTCCTGCTTCAGCCTCCTGAGTAGCTGGGATTACAGGCATGCACCCCATGCCCAAGTAATTTTTTGTATTTTTAGTAGAGACAGGGTTTCATGTTGACCAGGATGGTCTTGATCTCTTGACCTCGTGATCCACCCGCCTCAGCCTCCCAAAGTGCTGGGATTACAGGCGTGAGCCACCGCGCCCAGCTATCATTTTCAAACTTAGTTACCACTTGCTTCCCCAATGTGGATTTCCTCTTTAGATAGGCAGAATTCACGTCTTCACCATAGCTTTCTCTTAGGATTTTTTTTTTTTTTTTTTTGAGACAGGGTCTCAGTATGTTGCCCACGCTGGCCTGGAACTCCTCAGCTCAAGCCATTCTCCTGCCTCAGCCTCCCGAGGAGCTGGGAGTTACAAGCATGAGTCTGGGATTACAGGCATGAGCCCCCTGCCTGTCCATGATATAGCATTTAGTTAGTCTACCCTTTCTCTTCAAGGGCGCATAAGTCTAAGATTATTTCTGGCCGGGCGCGGTGGCTCACGCCTGTAATCCCAGCATTTTGGGAGGCCGAGGCGGGTGGATCACAAGATCAAGAGATCAAGACCATCCCGGCCAACATGGTGAAACCCGTCTCTACTAAAAATACAAAAAATTAGCTGGGCATGGTGGCACGTGCCTGTAATCCCAGCTACTCAGGAGGCTGAGGCAGGAGAATTGCCTGAACCCAGGAGGCAGAGGTTGCGGTGAGCTGAGATCGCGCCATTGCACTCCAGCCTGGGTAACAAGAGCGAAACTCCATCTCAAAAAAAAAAAAAAAAAAAAAAAGATTATTTCTGATCCTACTGCCATGCAATATGCTTATTTGAGTAGGTTTTTCCCACCCTCCTCCTCACTCATCTCTCCTATATGTAGTGGGACATTTTTCTCTGCTTATGGGAAGAGACTGGCCACACAGACGCCACATTTTGGATCTGTACGTACATGGTCACCTGTAATGTCGAAGTCACAGAAGAGATCTTTGAGTTCCTGTTTTTGAATATTGAAGAGAAATCTGTACATTCCGAAGTTTTTTGGACTGATTATCTGATCCCCATTCAGGTCAAGCAGGTCAAAGACAGTCCGGGAATGACGAAACATAAACTGTTCTTCCAAATGGTTCTATTGTGGGAGAAATAGGTAAGATGAGCAACAGTGTTGTCAATGCTGCTTTCTAAACTTGTTTCATCAAGATATATCTTCCCAGCCCCTTCCCGAGAGAGCTAAAAGCAAAAGACAAAATCAGAAGCTCAGAGCTGAAAGCGTTCTATCATCAACGCAGCGAGTCCCACTTCAGCATCTGCATTCAAAAAGAACTTGAAATCTGCCACATGTAGTAATCAATTCTGCTAGACAGAACTCTAGTTACTATAATGCATTTCCTTACATTCAGTGAAAGTCTTGTGAAACATCATGGCATGGGTGATAAAATGATGACCTTCTTTCCTCAAAAAAATGGGAACTGAGGCCGGGTACAGAGGCTCATGCCTATAATCTAGCACTTTGGGAGGCCAAGGCGGGCGGATCACTTGAGGTAAGGAGTTTGAGACCAACCTGGACAACATGGTGAACCCCCGTTGCTATTAAAAATACAAAAATTAGCTCGGTGTAGCAGCATGCACCTGTAGTCCCGGCTGCTCGGGAAGCTGAGGCATAAGAATTGCTTGAACCTGGACGGTGGAGGTTGCAGTGAGCTGAGATCATGTCACTGCACTCCAGCCTGGGTGACGGAGACTCAGTCTCAAAAAAAAAAAAAAAAAAAAAAAAAAAAAAAAAAAAAACTGAACTGGGTAAATACACACTGGAAGTGTATATACGGTAAGGAAAGTTTCCACCTTCAGAAACTTCCCTGAGAAAAAGGATCATTGAAGGAGTGAGGCATTTGAGCTCACTGGTGATTGTCTGAAAATCACCAGCTAGAACAAGTGAAGAAAGGAATGCCGAGAAGGGATACGTGGCCAAATCTGTCCTCTATGAGGAGTTGGGGAGTGGGAGGGCGGCCAAGAGGCTGGAGCTACAGCAGGGAGAGGCTGTTGAAAAACCTGAACCATTCAGGAACTAAAGCTCATCATTCTCCCCACCACCCTTTTTTATCCTTTTTTTTTAAAGACGGAGTCTCGGCAGGGCGCGGTGGCTCAAGCCTGTAATCCCAGCACTTTGGGAGGCCGAGGCGGGTGGATCACAAGGTCAAGAGATGGAGACCAACCTTGGTCAACAAGGTGAAACCCCGTCTCTACTAAAAATACAAAAAATTAGCTGGGCATGGTGACGCGTGCCTGTAATCCCAGCTACTCAGGAGGCTGAGACAGGAGAATTGCCTGAACCCAGGAGGCGGAGGTTGCGGTGAGCTGAGATCGCGCCATTGCACTCCAGCCTGGGCAACAAGAGCGAATCTCCAAAAAAAAAAAAAAGACGGAGTCTCTATTGCCCAGGCTGGGGTGCAATGGCGCAATCTCGGCTTACTGCAACCTCCACCTCCTGGGTTCAAACGATTCTCCTGCCTCAGCCTCCCGAGTAGCTGGGACTACAGGCACGCGCCACCATGCCCAGCTAATTTTTGCTTTTTTTTTTTTTTTTTTTTTTTGAGAGGGAGTTTCGCTCTTGTTACCCAGGCTGGAGTGCAATGGCGCGATCTCGGCTCACCGCAATCTCCGCCTCCTGGGTTCAGGCAATTCTCCTGCCTCAGCCTCCTGAGTAGCTGGGATTACAGGCACGCGCCACCATGCCCAACTAATTTTTTGTACTTTTAGTGGAGACGGGGTTTCACCATATTGACCAGGATGGTCTCGATCTCTTGACCCCGTGATCCACCCGCCTCGGCCTCCCAAAGTGCTGGGATTACAGGCTTGAGCCACCGCGCCCAGCAATTTTTGCATTTTAAGTAGAGACAGGGTTTCACCACGTTAGCCAGGATGGTCTCAACCTCCTGAGCTTGTGATCCGCCTGCCTCGGCCTCCCAAAGTGCTGGGATTACAGGCATGAGCCACCGTGCCCAGCCTGCACCACCCATTTTTAATTCCTCTTTTTAGTGAAAGGAAGAAAACCTCTGATGCATTCCTAATTCAGTGCTCCTTTTAGCAAGAGGGTGGCAGCAGCCCCGCTAATACTTGCGTGGTGAGCCAGCAGTATGCACACCAGCACGTAGAACTGCTCAAAGCCGATCTCGCCCACAGCACTCCAGTCCAGCATGTCAAACACAAGGTTGATCTGTCTCTTACTCAAGTCAGTCACATGATGAAGGAAGTGATAAAACAGCACATCTGTTAAGTGGGGCAGGTAAGAAGATGTGTTAGTTGGAAACAGTTTCAAAATGCTAAACAGCTAGGAGCTACATAAATGGTAGTGATGTTGGAAACTTGTTGATCTAGGAAGAATGATGATAACATTTTGTTTCTGGCTTTGCCACTGTGCTTTCTACAATTCCTCAAACCTTGATCGCCCTTGAGCTTGTGGAATAGCACTGGACCTGGAGTTGTGGAGAATGAGGTCATAGACAGGGCTTCACTCCTGCCTCCAGCTCACACAAGTCCGTTAGTCTATACCAGCATTTCTCAAACTGTAATGGGATACCAATCACTTGGGGATCTTGTAAAACTACAGATTCTGATTCAAGAAATCTGTTATGAAACCTGAGATTCCCCATTTCGCCAAGCTCCTAGGTGATGTAGCTGCAGCTGGTCTGAGTACCATGCATGGAGCGGCAAGGGCGTGCCTCACATAGTAAGCAGCAGAGCCGGGGTTCAAGTGTGAATTTGCTTGACCGTGTTGTTTTTTCCATGGTGAAACTCTGTCTTTTGTGCATTAGTTCATGCATATTTAATCGTATACATTCAGAAGAAAAAATACTGAAAAACTCTTTTTTTTCTGAGACAGAGTTTTGCTCTTGTTACCCAGCCTGGAGTGCAATGGCACGATCTCAGCTCACCGCAACCTCCGCCTCCTGGGTTCAGGCAATTCTCCTGTCTCAGCCTCCTGAGTAGCTGGGATTATAGGAATGCGCCACCATGCCCGGCTAATTTTTTGTATTTTTAGTAGAGACGGGGTTTCACCTTGTTGACCAAGGTTGGTCTCGATCTCTTGACCTTGTGATCCACCCGCCTCGGCCTCCCAAAGTGCTGGGATTACAGGGTTGAGCCACCGCGCCCGGCCCGAAAAACACTTTAAAGAACCGGGAAGTGCTGGGCATGGTGGCTCACACCTATAATCCCAGCACTATGGGAGGCTGAGGTGGTTGGATCACTTGAGGTGAGGAGTTTGAGACCAGCCTGACCAACGTAGTGAAATCATATCTCTACTAAAAATACATAAATTAGCTGGGCATGGTGGCACGCACGTGTAATCTCAGCTACTCAGAAGGCTGAGACAAGCCAGGCGTGGTGGCTCAAGCCTGTAATCCCAGCACTTTGGGAGGCCGAGGCGGGTGGATCACGAGGTCGAGAGATCGAGACCATCCTGGTCAACATGGTGAAACCCCGTCTCTACTAAAAATACAAAAAAATTAGCTGGGCATGGTGGCGCGTGCCTGTAGTCCCAGCTACTCAGGAGGCTGAGGCAGGAGAATTGCCTGAACCCAGGAGGTGGAGGTTGCGGTGAGCTGAGATCACGCCATTGCACTCCAGCCTGGGTAACAAGAGCGAAACTCCATCTCAAAAAAAAAAAAAAAAAAAGAAGGCTGAGACAGGAGAATCACTTGTACTCCAGCCTGGTGACAGAGACTCCCTGTCAGAAAAAAAAAAAAGAACTGGGAAGTTTTTTTGGGAAGTTTTTTGTTGTTGTTGTTTTTTGTTTTTTTCATTTTCAAGATCTTTTTGCATACCAAGTATAGAGAAGCTTTTTGCCTGCCATTCTACTCATTAATCATAAATAAAAGATAAAAAAAATAAACATGGCAATACACTTACACAGTGTTGTGTGGCTGTCTACAGTTGTATGCACAAATCACAGTAACAAGGGATTTTTACTTTTATCTACCTATGTTTCCCTTTGCCCACTGATTACAGCAACTATTTCCTGCATAAGAAATGGCTCCACTGAATACGTAAAACTTATATGTGTAATGTGGAGTCCCAGCTGAAGCCAGCTAAAAGCACAGCAGATCTGTAGTCACAGTGTCATGATTTGGGGGCTTCTGACATCCCCTTAATGTTCCTTCTCTACACCTCCCTGGATATGAGCACCTGGAAACAACACACCATATAGATACACAGTGATGTTTGTGTAATTGCTCCTTGAGAAATGTTTCCATGTGCAACTTAGTAGCCACTTAATAAAGACTGTTTTGAGGCTGGGTGCTGTGGGTCACACCTGTAATTCAGCACTTCGAGAGCCCAAGGCAGGCGAATCACTTGCGGTCAGGAGTTCAAGACCAGCCTGGCCAACATAGTGAAACCCTGTGTCTACTAAAAATTCAAAAATTAGCCAGTGTGGTGGTGCACAGCTGTAGTCCCAGTGTTTGTTATTATTGTAATTATTATTCTTGGGAGCTGAGCCCCACTCAGGCATTAACTCTGGAGACCCCTCAGCAAGACTTCTTATCTGTCAAGCGGGAAAAGTTTGAATCTGATGAGCTATGGGATCCCTTCTACTTATTAATACTTGTGAATGACCAAAAAAAAAAGAAAAAAAGGCTGGGTGTGGTGGCTCACGCCTGTAATCCCAGCACTTTGGGAGACCGAGGAGGGTAGATCACCTCAGGTCAGGAGTTCGAGACCAGCCTGGCCAACATGGTGAAACCTCGTCTCTACTAAAAATACAAAAGTTAGCCTGGCTTGGTGGGGGGAGCCTATAATCCCAGCTACTCGGGAGGCTGAGGCAGGAGAATCGCTTGAACCCAGGAGGTGAAGGTTGCATGAGCCAAGAGGGCACCACTGCACTCCAGCCTGGGCCACAGAGTGAGACTCCGACAAAAAAAAAAAAAAAAGAAAACAAAAAAAAAGCTGCAGATCTCAGCTGTGCTTGTTGAGTTCACAAACAAATAGAATTCCAATTAAAGCACGTTAGGTTCTTTTTGGGACTGGATAGAAATAAGGAATCCTATCTATTCACTTGTTCTGACCTCTGAGAGAGAAATGCTGTTTGTGAGTAAGGGTTTTCTCCTTTGTGATTTTAAGGAGTTCGTTCAATCTTTAAAAACAAACAATAAAAAGGGGACACCTTCATTTTTCTCTTTAATAGAGATTTACGTACAGTGCGTTGCCAAATCTTCGCCATAACCCTGCCCTAGATGAAGCAGCTGCAGGGGACCCGGTTGTAAATAAAAGGTTAAGATGGAAGCACGGGCTCTCTGCCTGCAAAGCCCACACCGAGTCTCTCGCCGAGATGCTTTAGGAGAGGAGTCTCAGCTCCCTGGTAACCAGTTCACTCCCTGGTGATGAAATACTCAGGAGATAATGCCATGCTCAGGTCTCCTGGTCACAGAGGGACTGGAAGAGTGAAGGCACAACCTTCATGTTTGCCCTCCTGCGGGGGAATGACTTAAGGTCTTGGAGATTTGGGTGAGCCAGAGTCTGCTGCTTTCAAAGGAGTCGTTTATTTATTTATTTATTTAAGAAAGATGGAGACTCTCTCTGTCACCAAGGCTGGAGTGCAGTGGTGCTATCTTGGCTCACTGCAGCCTCCGCCCCCCAGATTCAAGCGATTCTCCTGCCTCAGTCTCCTGAGTAGCTGAGATTACAGGCGCCCACCACCATGTCAGGCTGACTTTTATATTTTTAGTAGAGACAAGGTTTCACCATATTGGCCAGGCTGGTCTCCAACTCCTGACCTCAGATGATCTACCCGCCTTGGCCTCCCAAAGTGCTGGGATTACAGGCGTGAGCCACCATACCCAGCTTTTTTTTTTTTTTTTTTTTTTTTTTTTTTTTTTTTTTTGTCATTCACAAGTACCAATAAGTGGAAGGTGGAAGGGATCCTGCCGCTCATCAGATTCAAACTTCCCACTTGACAGATTAGAAGTCTTGCTGAAGGGTCTCCAGGGTTAATGCCTGAGTGGGGCTCAGCCCCAAGAATAACAATTACAATAATAACAAACACTTACTAAGTCCTTACAATGTGTCAGACACTGTGCTAAGTATTTGCCATACATGATCTCATTACCTTTTTTTTTTTTCCAACTATGAGATGGACTCCATTATGAGAAGCCTCACCTCTCAATGAGGAAAATGAGACTTGGAGACGGTGATGATGCAGTATCCACATCACCAAAGAATAATGGGTGTGGACCCGGATTCCACCACAGAGCCTGCAATTTTCTCCTCCCCACTGATCCGTCCCAGTGTCAATTCTCAGTTGGCAATTTCTCTCTGTGCTTCAACTAGAAGATAAAAGATTTACTGGGCCGGGCGCGGTGGCTCAAGCCTGTAATCCCAGCACTTTGGGAGGCCGAGGCGGGTGGATCACGAGGTCAAGAGATCGAGACCATCCTGGTCAACATGGTGAAACCCCGTCTCTACTAAAAATACAAAACATTAGCTGGGCATGGTGGCGCGTGCCTGTAATCCCAGCTACTCAGGAGGCTGAGGCAGGAGAATTGCCTGAACCCAGGAGGCGGAGGTTGCGGTGAGCCGAGATCGCGCCATTGCACTCCAGCCTGGGTAACAAGAGTGAAACTCCGTCTCGAAAAAAAAAAAAAAAAAAAAGATTTACTAACAGGCCGGGCGCAGTGGCTCACACCTGTAATCCCAGCACTTTGGGAGGCTGAGGTGGGTGGATCACCTGAAGTCAGGCATTCGAGACCAGACTGGCCAATGTGGTGAAACCCTGTCTCTACTAAAAATATAAAAAATTATCCAGGCATGGTGTGGGCCACCTGTAACCTCAGCTACTCAGGAGGCTGAGGCAGGAGAATTGCTTGAACCCAGGAGGCGGAGGTTGTGGTGAGCCGAGATCACGCCATTGCACTCCAGCCTGGGTAACAAGAGCGAAACTCCGTCTCAAAAAATAAATAAATAAATAAATAAAAATAAAAAATTATCTGGGCATGGTGTGGGCCACCTGTAACCTCAGCTACTCGGGAGGCTGAGGCAGGAGAATCACTTGAACCCAGGAGGCGGAGGTTGCAGGAAGCCGAGATTGTACCACTGCACTTCAGCTTGGGTGACAGAACGAGACAGAAGTTTACTAACAAAACAGTTTCTGGCTCTGCAAGTTTTCCACACGTTAGCTAAAAATCAGGTAAGGACCCAGAGGAGACATGTTTGGAAGTACTGACCATTCAAGGTGTTCTTGCCGTGAACATCCAGAAGGTGAAAATATTCCAACAAAGCCTTCACATTTCTCACGGATAGTAAGCAGTGTACTTTGTCCAGATAGAGGTACCACAGAAACGATCCTTGCTTCAGTCTCATCTTAGTATTCTGTAAACTGAAGGCTCTGGCAACCAGAAATAGAATAGAGAATCCTGCCTCAGAAGTAGAATGTTGGACAGAGTGTCTGAAACCTGGCAGCAATAAAGGTAAACACGTGAGAGGAAACAGTCACAAAGTAAAATTGCTGCTTAATTTTTCCAGCTATGCGATAGATGTCTGTTGTCTGAAATCTCTTGCTAATGTGATTATCCTGATGTCACTAAAATACAATCATTTCTAAGATCCACACAGAAATGAATGAGAGAATGTGCTACATAGGAAAACTGCTACAAAGCCCAAGTGGTTTTCAGAGCATTTATAGCCTAAATCATTTATTAGGAACAAGAAAAATTGAAAATCACACAGAAAAGTACTAAAAGAACCTAGAATAAGTACAATAAAATAATGTCAAAGAGAAGGAATCTCCCTCCCCTGCCCTCCCCTCCCCTCCTCTCCCCTCTTTTTCTTTTCTTTTTGAGACAAGGTCTTGCTCTGTCACCCAGGCTGGAGCACAGTGGGGCGATTGCTGCTCACTGCAGCCTCCACCTCCCGGCCTCAGCTCTCCTCCCACCTCAAGCCCCCAAGTAGCTGGAACCACAGGTGCGTGCCACCACACCAGGCTAATATGTTCACTCTTGGTAGAGGGAGTTTCTCCATGTTGCCCAAGCTGGTCTTGAACTGCTGGGCTTAAGCAATCCACCCTCTTTGGCCTCCCAGAGTGCTGGGTTGACAGGCGTGAGCCACTATGCCTGATCTTCACGTTTTTAAAAAACAAAAATCATCAAATAAAATTGGTTTTAATAACATTTTATCTCATCCGACACAATGGTTGTCAAAGAAAATTTTTTTTTTTTTTTTTTTTTTTTTTTTTTTTTTTTTTTTTGAGACGGAGTTTCACTCTTGTTACCCAGGCTGGAGTGCAATGGCGCGATCTCGGCTCACGGCAACCTCCGCCTCCTGGGTTCAGGCAATTCTCCTGCCTCAGCCTCCTGAGTAGCTGGGATTACAGGCACGTGCCACCATGCCCAGCTAATTTTTTGTATTTTTAGTAGAGACGGGGTTTCACTATGTTGACCAGGATGGTCTCGATCTCTTGACCTCGTGATCCACCCGCCTCGGCCTCCCAAAGTGCTGGGATTACAGGCTTGAGCCACCGCGCCCGGCCCAAAGAAAATTTTTAAAAAGAATAACATTTAATCTAACCCAATATATCCAAAATATCTTTTCAATTTGTAATCAACGTTTTTTAAAAAATTAAAATCCAGTGTGTATTTTAGATAGATCACATCTCAGTTTGGACTAGTTGCATTTCAAGTGCTTAATAGTCTCATATGCCCAGTGGCTATCATACTGGACAGCACAGATACATAGAATAGGGCTAGACGCAGTGGCTCACACCTGTAATCCTAGCACTTTGGGAGGCTGAGGCAGGTGGATCACTTGAGGTCAGGAGATTGAGACCAACCTGATCAATACGGTGAAATCCTCATCTCTACTAAAAATACAAAAATTAGCTGGGCATGGTGGTGCACACCTATCATCCCAGCTACTTAGAAGAATGAGGCAGGAGAATCGCTTGAACCCAGGAGGTGGAGGTTGCAGTGAGCCGAGATCACGCGCACCACTGCACTCCAGCCTGGGCGACAGAGTGAGACTCCGTCTCAAAACAAAACAAAACAAAACAGATACATAGAAAAATTTTTCTAGGAAAACTGACTTATAAAGGAGTTTAAAACCTTAATCAACCAATAACCGTAAGAGTAACTAAAAATCAGTAATGAGGCCAGGCACAGTGGTTCGCACCTGTAATCCCAGCACTTTGAGAGCCTGAAGCAGGTGGATCACCTGAGGTGGAGTTCCAGATCAGCCTGGCCAACATGGTGAAACCCCGACTCTACTAAAAATACAAAAATTAAAGGCCAGTCGCGGTGGCTCATGCCTGTAATCTCAGCACTTTGGGAGGCCGAGACAGGTAGATCATGAGGTCAAGAGATCGAGACCATCCTGGTCATCATGGTGAAACCCCGTCTGTACTAAAAATACAAAAATTAGCTGGGCATGGTGGCACACGCCTGTAGTCCCAGCTACTCAGGAAGCTGAGGCAGGAGAATTGCTTGAACACAGGAGGCAGAGGTTGCAGTGAGCCAAGATCGCACCATTGCACTCCAGCCTGGGTAACAAGAGCGAAACTCCATCTCAAAAAAAAAAAAAAAAGAATCCCAGCTACTTGGGATTGAGGCAGGAGGATCGCTTGAACCGGGAGGCAGAGGTTGCAGTGAGCTGAGATTGCACCACTGCACTCCAGACTGGGTGACAGAGTGAGACCCTATCTCAAAAAATAAAATAAAATAGGCTTGGCGCAATGTCTCATGTCTGTAATACCAGCACTTTGGGAGGCCGAGGCACGTGGATCACCTGAGGTCAGGAGTACGACACCAGCCTGGCCAACATGGTAAAACCCCATCTTTACTAAAATTAAAAATTAGCCAGGTGTGGTGGCGTGTGCCTGTAGTCCTGGCTACTCAGGAAATCCAGGTAGGAGAATTGCTTGAGCCCAGGAAGCAGAGATTGCAGTGAGCCGAGATCACATCACCCCACTCCAGCCTGGGTGGACAGATAGAGACTTTGTCTCCACAAAAGTAAATCTTCAATAAATTAATTAAGTAAAATAAAAAACCTGCCGGGGCGTGGTGGCTCATGGCTGTAATCCCAGCACTTTGGGAGGCAGAGGCAGGTGGATCACGAGGTCAGAAGTTCAAGACCAGCCTGGCCAACATGGTGAAACCCCATTTGTGCTAAAAATTTAAAAATTGACTGTGCATGGTGGCACATGCCTGTACTTCTAGCTACCCGAGAGGCTGAGGCAGGAGAATTGCTTGAACTGGGACCCAGGAGGTGGAGGTTGCAGTGAGCCGAGATCACACCACTGTACTCCACCCTGGGCTACAGAGTGAGACTCTATCTCAAAAAAGCAAAACAGGCTGGGCGCGGTGGCTCAAGCCTGTAATCCCAGCACTTTGGGAGGCCGAGGCGGGTGGATCACGAGGTCGAGAGATCGAGATCATCCTGGTCAACGTGGTGAAACCCCTTCTCTACTAAAAATACAAAAAATTAGCTGGGCATGGTGGCGCGTGCCTGTAGTCCCAGCTACTCAGGAGGCTGAGGCAGGAGAATTGCTTGAACCCAGGAGGCGGAGGTTGCGGTGAGCCGAGATCGTGCCATTGCACTCCAGCCTGTAACAAGAGCGACACTCTGTCTCAAAAAAAAAAAAAAAAAAAAAAAAAAAAAAGCAAAGCAAAACAAAACAAAACAAAAAACCCCTAAAGGCTGAGTGTGGTGGCTCACACCTGTAATCCCAACACTTTGGGAGGCTGAGGCAGGAGGATCACCTCAGGTCAGGAGTTCAAGACCAGCCTGGCCAACATTGTGAAACCTGATCTCTACTAAAAATACAAAAATTAGGCCAGGCGTGCTGGCTCATGCCTGTAATCCCAGCACTTTGGGAGGCCGAGGCAGGCGCATCACGAGGTAAGGAGCTTAAAACCAGCCTGGCCAACATGGTGAAACCCCATCTCTACCAAAAATTCAAAAATTAGCCAGGTGTGGTGGTACACGCCTGTAGTCCCAGGTACTCGGGAGGTTGAGGCAGAAGAATTGCTTGAACCTGGGAGGCAGAGGCTGCAGTGAGCCGAGATCGTGCCACTGCACCTTGACCTGGGTGAAAGAGTGAGACTCTCTTAAAAAAAAAAAAAAAAAAAAATTCACAGTTCTCTCTCCCAGAACACAGGGAAGAGAGGCCTTTCTGCTGAGGGGGTCAGGGGAAAGGTGTCATATTTAACTGCATTTCTCCATTATATTAGTTAGGGTGAGTACTTGTTCTGTGAAAGGGCCATCTATGCAAAGTGACCCCTAAACACAGAAGGAGCTGAGAAACCAAATTCAGTTTGTTGGTAGAGGGTGATTTATTGGGGAACTTACAGGCAGCAGCATGGACCTGGGTGGCCATAGACATACAGAACTCTGCCCCACTACTCGCCAGACCCAGGGCTCACCTACCATGGGGAAAGGAGGTTTGTGCTCTAGAGACAATGAAAGGTAATCTCCCAGAAAAGGCAAGAAAGTTATGTGCGTCACAGCCTATAATTTGTATGATAATGTCAAGGTTGCGTTGATGTAAAGGCAGGATTCATAGTGAGTACATGTTCTTTCACTAAAGGACAGTAAATAAAGTAGGAATCTGGGATCGTTCATGGGACTGGGGTTACTTAGAAGTCAACATGGCAGATTAGCATCCAAGATGGAGTCACTTTTGTCTCCACAGTAATGCAGGACAGGTCTCTGGGTGGCCCTGGACAACCCAGTTCACATTGATTTCTCATTTGGATTCTCAAGAATAAATGTAGAATGTGCTGTGAATACAACCTGAGATAAGGAGAGGCTGGCCAGAACAACTCGAGCGCTGTTCCTGTCTCCACCTAGACACAGAATGGCTTCAACGCTTTAGCCCAGCAAGTCATGCTCCCCAGGGCATAAAACCCAAGGCCGGTTTAGTCCGTTAATCCTCCCTGCCAATTATAACATAAACAAATCAATCTTTGTTTCACCATGTTGGCCAGGCTGGTCTCGAACTCCTGACCTTCAGGTGATCCACCTGCCTCCGCCTCCCAAAGTACTGGGATTACAGGCATGAGCTACGGCGCCTGGCCAAAGTCAATGATTTTTATATGCTTTCCTAAATCGACTAATGACACTGAGCATTGTTATATGTGCATATTTGTCACCTGTACACATTGTGTATTCTCTTTCAAGGCAGAGGTATGGGTATTAATGTGAGAATAGGATGGACATTTTCTATCTCAGACCTACAACCTACTTCTCCAAGGAACCGTGGTATTATTTAGTAAAAAATTGTATTTGGAGATCATAATCTGTGCTCTGCTTGACTTTTTAGCCTGTGAGCCTATTGACTCTGATTTCTTGGCCTCTTTTTCTAAGTTCTC